CACCGTGCCGCCAGGCCGCCAGGGGGCGCTGCAGCCACCACTACCTTCACTCTCAGCGTCTGGCCCGGAGAGCCAGGTGCCTGCGTGGAGGCCCGCAGATGCCAGGATGGCTTTAGTAGGGCGCCGCAGCCCCCGCGACTCCTCACTTAATCCCTTCCCGTCGCAAACGGCCTTCGGGTTCCCTCCTTTTGTCGCCGGTCCTTCCCGGGACTCTCAGCGACCGCCCCCCAGCAGGCCGCTGAGCTACGGCAAGCGCCGAGGGCCAATCCCCGCGGCCGCTAGAGCTGCGCGTCCCGCCGTCCGCTCCAGCGCAGACAGGCACCACGGAGAACTAAACCCTGCAGTGGGGGCAGATCCAGCCACAGAGGGCTCCCGTGGGGCCTAAAGGAGCTCGCCCATGCCGGGACAGCCTTCTCCGCCCCTCTATGAAGGCGTCGCGCTGCACCGACCTCTCCCCAACACCTGACACACGCACACGCGCGCGTGCATCTCCCGGGGTCGTTCGCCCGCCCTCCCCGTGCTTACCGGGATCTGCAAGCTGGCCTCTCGTATCCGACCCGGAGGACCTGAGAACTCTCGCTGCCGACGCCGCTGCTGCTCCGCGCTCAGTCCCGCCCCTACTTAAAGCCGTGGCGTCCGCCCACCGAGATCTAAGCCTGGGTGTACCCCCAGCCAGTGGGTGCGGCCTGCTGCCGCTTGAGTGGGCGAGCTGTCCTTTTAAATCGTCGCCTTGGGGTGACCTAGCTGCGGATTACCCAGGCTTGAGGGACTGTGGGCTGTTGCAGCTTCTAGATTCGTGATTCCTGAGTCCCTCGCAGGGGCCAGGTTGAAGGGTGATGGACACCCGAAACACCTATCCAGTTGGTCCGCAGTTAGACTGTGTGTATGAGTGTGGCCTTCAGGGCTGGACTTCCCTTCTCTGAGATGTCTTTTTTTTTCTCCTCTTCCTGCAATGCTGGGTGTTGAACTTAGGGCCTCATACACTAGGCCGAAGCTCTACTCCTGGTCTGTATTCTCAGTTGCCTAAGGGGCTTCAAGTTCGTGCAAGCAGGAAAAGGCAAGGAAGGCTTTGGGAAGGTTGTAGATAGACTGACACCCTGTTAGCTTGTCATGCAGCTAGGTCACCCCGAGACAACCACATTTGTCTTGCTTGTAGTTGATGCCCTCCATCCAAAACAAAAATTAGAAGTAGACAGGCCTGGAGCCAGGCCAAAGCAATGAAGAAACATAGTGGAGGGAAGGGGAAAATGAATCCTGTGATATCCAGATGAGGGAGCACAAGCTGGTGACGAGGCCTTTCTTTGCAAGGGCAGAGAACTGTCAATTCTCCATTACCGAGTGGGTTCTGAGATAGCCACTGACAGTGGAGAGAACTCGGTAACCATAGTTACCCAGTTTTGATGACCAGCGTAAATTATGGCCTAAACCCCACTACCTCCGGTCTCCTTATATTTTCATCCTGTAACTTCCGCTGCCTACTCTGAAACCTCCAACCATCAGGTCTTTGTGTTCTGATCCTAAATTGATACATTTTTGCACTTGGTAATGAACAGAGCTTGCTGTGCCGGCAAAAATAACCTCCTGAGTTAAGATGGCCTTTTGAAAACATGCTCCGTTATTTGTCTGTTGTTGCCACAAAAGAACTAGCTGTAGCCAAAACCCTGGCAATGTGGGAAATTGTTTCTAATAACATTTTCCCCTCCCTCTTGCAGGAAATTGTTTATGAATAAAATGCATGCCTGCCATCCATCACAGCCTCCAAAACTGACAGGTCTAAAGTTTGAGAAGGACTTAAAACAAGGATCAAATCAGTGCCCTGGGAGTTGTTTTGTATCTTTTGGGAGACAGAATAAACAAGGTAGGGGCCGGTGAGATGGCTCAGTAGATTGCTCACTAGGTTGTAGCTCAGAAGGTAGAATGGTTATCTAGCACATATGAAGCCCTGGGTTTCATCCTAAACTTGCTCTTGCCTGTAAGCTCTAAACTTTGTAGGTGAAGTGTTGCAAGGCAGTTACTTCCCTCTGGGCATAACATGTTTACTCCATTGCTGCCTTGGAGTAGAAACTAAATGCTGGATGAAAAAGCTCAGGATCTGAGCTTGAGTTAGATCTTAGGGACCTGTGTGAAGGAAGGAGAGAACTGACTCCACAAAGTTATCCTCTAAAACTTGCACAGGCTTACACGCTCACACATACAGGTATCATGTACACACATAGTAATAATAAACAAATAAGTACATTTTTATGAAAGAAAAGCACATCAGGCATGGTAGTACACACTCTTAATTCCAGCTCTTGGGAGACAGAGATAGGAGAATTTCTGAATTTGAGGCCAGCCTGGTCTACCTGGTGAGAGCCTGTCTCAAAAGAAAAAAAAGGGAGATGGTCCTCTTATGGGAATCCTAATAGCCTGAACAGGGGCCATCTCTGGATCTTACTCACTTCTGGTTCTCTGCTCCTCATACTGCGTTGCTTTGCCCAGCCTTAATACATGGGGAGGTGCTTAGTCTTACTGCAACCTGATATGGCATGTTTTATTGATAATCATAGAAGACCTGCCCTTTCCTGGATGAAGACAGAAGAGGATGAGGGGATGGGGGCAAGAGACTGGGAAGGGAGAATGGGGGAAAGGCTGCAGCTGGGATGTAAAATAAATAAATGGATTTTTTTTAAAAAAAAGGAAAAACAAAGCAAATCTATCTTTGACAAATTCCAGTTTAATTGCATATCATACATACCTATAATTGGTTTTAACTCTAACATTGCCAAAATCCCCTCTCCTCCTTCACAGTACAGTTCTTTCTAGCAAGGTAATCACAATGTTAGGGTTTTGCTTGTTTGTCTCCTGAATTCCGGGTTAGGGACAGGACCAACCTCATCCCTATTAGGTAAATTAAGTCTCTCCTCTGCTTAAAACCTACAAAGACTCCTGGCAGTAGTGTTGCACACCTTTGATCCCAGCACTCACAGAGGCAGAGGTAAGCAGATCTTTGTGAGTTTGAGGCCCCCCTGGGCTACGAAGTGAGTTCCAGGACAGCCTCCAAAGCTACAGAGAAATTCTGTCTCAGAAAACCATAAATAACAACAACAACAACAACAATAATAATAATAATAAGCCTACAAAGACTTTGAAGCTCACTCAAGATGTTCTGGGCCTGCCTGCCTGCCCACCTGCCTGCCTGCCCACAGCCCTGGCAGATCACCTTTCAGCTACTGGGGTCTTGCTGTACTTGACACCCACTCGTACTGTCCCCCTCTTAGTTCCATTGAAGGTTATCCACCTATTTGGTATGCTCTTCCCTTGGCAGCGCCGAGTCTTGCTCAGCTGAAAGGTCACCCATTGCCCCAGAAGGTAGAATGGTTATCTAGCATGTAGGCAGCCCTGGATTTCATCCCAAATTTGCCCTTGCCTGTAACCCCAATACTTTGTAGGTAAAGTGCTGTAGGCAATTACTTCCCTCTGGGGATAATATGTTTACCCCAATGCTGCCTTAGGGTAGAAACTGAAGAGACCAATAGCCTTTAACAACCAGAAAGGGACAAAGCAGAGATAGCCAGGTTTATGGTAATGTTAATGGAGCTACTGGTACTCCTCAATAGAAAATGGAGGGGGAGCCACAAGACCCTCTCTCCTGTACACCCCCAACTGCAAATGATCTTGGGATATATATTCTTGATTATATAGACAGTGAAAGGTTGGCCAGATGGGGGTGGCAGCACACGCCTTTAATTCCAGCACATGGGAGACAGAAGCAAGAACTCTGTGAGTTCGAAGACAGCCTGGTTCCAGGACAGTCAGGGCTACATAGAGGAAACCCTGTCTCAGAAAAATAAATAAACAAAACAGTGGAAGGTTGACCGATAGAAGGGGTGGGACATTGCAGTGATGCAGTTGTTTTAGGGTCACCCACACTCCTATAAGTAATTCCTCACCTTGTTCTGTAAATAAACCCAATAAACTCATTGGTTCACCAAGCTGGGACTTAGGTGGAATTGTAGCAGAGGACTCAGATTCGATTCCCAACAACCACATGGCAGCTTACAACTGTCTATAATGCCAGTTCCAAGGGCTCCAATGCCCTCTTCTGTCCTCCGTGGACACTAGGCACACAAGTGGCACACAGAAATACATGAGGGCAAAATACCCATATATCTACAAATAAAATAAGTTACAGAACACTGAAAAAAAGGTTAATGCAACATAAAGGCAGGAGGGTCAGAAGTGATGCAATACAGTCTGCAATAGGCATTTCGTTGCTCAGCTTTTCATCACCATAACAAATACACAAGATAACCAACTGCAGAGATGGCACAGTGGTTAGGACCGTTTGCTGCTCTTACAGAGGTCCTGAATTTAGTTCCCAACAATCCATGTTGAGTTGAGTGGCTTACAAACAACTGTAACTCCAGCTCCAGATGGTATGATGCCCTCTTCTGGCCTCTTCAGGCACCTGCAGTGGTGTGCACATACACAGAGATGCCAGTGGAAGCCAGAAAAGGTGTTGGATCTCTTGGAGCTGGAGTTGCTACTGGTTGTGAGCCACTCAGCATGGATGTTGGTAACCAAACTCAGGTCTTCTAGAAGAGGATTAAGCACTCTTAACTGCTGAGACATCTCTCTATCACTACACTCTCCCCTTCCCAATTTAGAGAGTATGCAGTGTGTGGCCAAGACTGGCAGTCAATTCCCAATCCTCCAGCCCCAGCTTCCTCAGTGATAGAATAACAAATATGCTACCACACTCAGTCTGAGCCTGACCTTTTGAAAATGACTAAGACACCACCATGCTCCCTTCTCTGATTGGGTCCCTGATCCACAGGTCTTTGGTTTAGAAGCTGAGGCTGAAACATGAGGTTGTATTTTCTGTGATGAACTTTCCACTATACTAAATCAATACTCTAGGCATCGGCTTGTCCTCTCAAGATCTCTGGTGGGTTTCAATAGGTGTCCTGGGGTCTGACAAGTCTAACTGCCCTGGCAAAGTGGACATGCAGGCCTGGAGCCATGATAAATGAAACGAACCCAGCATTCTAAATTCCAGTTGACCCCTCCAACTTACCATAGGATTCAGAGGCATACCATCTGCCCCATGGTCCTTGTTTCCTTCTGTAACATTTCCAGTAGAGGAGAATGTGGTAGTGTCATTTGTGAGAAGAAAAAAACACAGTTCCACAATGCCATACTCGGGAGCCTGATGAGTACCCCTGGGTTTTTAGGGACCTACACTTGGGGTAAACCAGAATTTGTGGCTTCTATGCTAAAAAGAATTTCAACATCAGCCAGTTTATGATTGTCGAGAGCAAAAAGGTAGATATGAGTAGTTAGTATAACAAAAATTATATTTTATCATGCTGAGAGTCATCACATGAGGTTCACAGTCTAAATTCCTAACCATGGTCCTAAGTCTATCTCCCCAAGGCTGCTCACCTCTGCAGTGTATCTTAGCCTAAGATCAGAACTGGTCTCTAACAGAAGTCTCTGATTTGAGAGTCCTGATCCTGGGGAAGACTCTCCAGCTGCAGGGCAGATCAAGGTGATGTCTCTGCAGAAGTGCAGAGCAGAGCATTGCTCTTGGTCTCTGCTTGTAGGCTGTCCAGTGGGTGTCATGTGGTTCTAGGATGGTCTGGTTATCTTTGAGTGAATGATGTCACTGAGTTCTGATTATCACATGCAG